AGCTATGCTGGCTGGGGAATTCTGGGAGTTGGAGTCCACCCATCTGAAAGCTGCCAAGGTTGAGAAACACTGCTATACACAGTCTTATGAAACAAGAGTCACCACAAAAGCAAACATCAGCATGCCCAGAACTGAAAATGGTAAGAAACATACGGTGAACAGAATTACAAAATGTATCTGTAAAATAAGATGGAAATTATAGCAGTTAACAAAGATGCTCTTGGGCTCATCCTTAAATTAGGAAGTGGGACTCGGGAGTCTGTTTTTTTCCCAATTCTGTTTTCTGAATTTGATGTTATTCTATTCATAAAAGCAATAAGGTGAAATCCTATCAGTTAAAAAGAATGGCAAAAGGCCATAGATTTAATGGTTCTTTGCAGCATACCCCCTGGTTTCATGCTAAGCCATGGTTTATTTAATAAGCCACGTTTGCACAGATTCACAAATGGTTCATGATTTACTTTGCATCATGAAGGAACCTAGCCAAATGTGGATCAGCCAACCAAGGCTGAGCATGTTCTATGAGTCCAATTTTAATCCATCTTTAGGAAGTCCAAAAATAGTTGCGCGCATATCCCACTCCTCTTCTTCAAAGGCCATGTAGGCCTTTCCTCGCACTTGCTCCCTTGCCCTCTTAGCTAGAGAAAGTGGACAGATTGGAAGTCAATCATTTGACCTATTCCCAGACAATTTGTCTGCACCCATTGCTTAGGGTACATGCTGTAAACTAGATAGTCAAAATAAGGAAGCCACTTTCTGTCTTTTCAGTGGTTGCTCCTTCTAAAAAGATGAAATATACATTCTAATGCAACTCAGCCCTTGCATGGATGAGACTGACAATATTCCCTGTCTACCTTAATCCAATTCCCAGAAAGCTGCTTGGGTGTTTAAAGTCTGCCCAATTAATTCAGCAAGCAAACTTTTTCCCCACCAGGACAGTGAACATTGGCACCTCCCACCCTCCCAGGGTTTGCTTTGACCATCGCATACAATGCACAGTGTTGCAGTGTTGATTTTTGTACAGCCATGATGGTGATGATTGGAATCTCTTCCATAGATACTTGATTAAAACAACATGGCATCAGCATCTGGAAGGAGCATTACCTTGAGAGCAGAACCTTTTGGAGTGAAGCATTTGAAAGGCTTCTTATCATCACCCTGTGCTTCATCTGGTATCTTCTGGCGTTTCTCAGCAGCTTCTGCCCTTCTTCTCTCAATTTCTTCTTTCAGCCGCCTCTTCTCCTCCTGACAAAAAACACAGGATGGAATCATTTAGCTGCGTGTATCAGCAACTGATCAGCAACTCTGGCTGATCCTTAAGATTCAAAACTGGCAATAGGGGACGGGCCCAGCTGCAGTAACTGGTGTTGTTACTAGCAAGGGGGAGCAAATAATGAAAGAACCATTGTGACGCAAGGTCTAACACTTTGTATATGCGTTGTGGCATCACACACATATCCTAAAGGGCCAGGGATTACATTACATCATCACAATTTGTTTTGTCATTTTAATGAAATTTTCAGATTCTGCAGACGCCTTTGACTACTAGCTGCTATTAAGTTATGCAAAAATGTACATAAAAATTGAGTCACCTAAACCTACTTGTTAGACAGCATAGACACATTACATTCAATGCCTGCACACAGTCTGTGTCAGTTTCTAGGCAAACACTGATGTGTACAGTTGTTCTTAAATGATGTTCAAAATGCGTGCAGTTTATGGACACAATCAATAGATGGCTGACCTGCATGTTCGTTAAATTACCAATACATCTGAATGGTTTCAGGTTGGGCAAGACTGCTGTAGATAACACAAAAAGGTGGAACAAGAGACCAATTAAATGCCCATTGTGCTAAGCCATAGTATGTTTTAACTACAGTATGTTAAACAAATCATAATGGTTTGGTTTATATATGATTCCAAACTCAAAACTACAGTGTGATGGAATTCTCAGACCCTGGAAATAAAAAACGTGTGTTTTCAAAATATTGCAGAACAAGAAAGATGGACATTTGTGTGATACTAAATATGCAATTAGCATCCACCCCATTAAACTAAGACACTTTAAGAAAGAAGATGAAAGACAATAGGGAGGATTCATCTTAATGTAATCAGTGATAAATGAGGGCCAAGGTAGGCATATCCAGTTCCCAATATTTTGTAATCTGATCCCTTGCTCATAAACCTGCTTTCATGGTTCTGAGCTCTGGTAAGGGCCTTATGAGTAAAGGTAAAGGGTGACACATGGTTTACAACCCATGATGGATGTATCCATGCAGCATGTTAATCCAGAAGCAAACAAATCACATAGAATAGCTTCTTGTGCATTCACTATGCTAGGCTAAAATTGAATAAACCACCATTGACTGGACACCACATGCTAAGCTGTAATACAAGGCCTACAAACAGAATAGCTGGATTTGCATGTAATCCTAAACCAAAACTAAATTACTGTGTCACTTTGGGCTTAACCCAATAGCTGCGACATGCTTATCAGTAATTGAATTAACCTGTTTTATTTCTTCATATGGTGCACTGAACTACAGACTAACCAGAAGGTCTGGGTTTACACAAAATGCTAAGACGCACACATACACACACTCTAAAATGAACACTAACCAAGCTTAGCAAGTTGTGTGACTGCATCTATCAGGTCTTTGACTTACCTGATTAAGCAACCTGTGCAAACACAGTCAAAGTGTGAAACCCAGGACATGCCTATTCTAGATTAGCATCCTTGTCTCATTCTGAATGCACCAACTCTGTTACCTCTTCCCGAGCTTTCCTCTCTGCCTCGTCTTTCTTCCTTCTCTGTTCTTCGTCTTCCAGAATCTTCCTCCGTTCTTCGCGCTTCTTCTTCAACTCCTCCAATTCCACAGCTGCCTCTTGTTGTTTCTGCTTCAGCTTCTCAAATTCTTCACTCTCATTTTCACCCCGCCGGCGGCGTAACTCCTCCACCCTCTTGCCAGCTTCTGCCTGGGGCTTGGCACCCTCGGACCCAGGCGCGGTTTTGGACCCCGGTCGGCTGAGAAAGAAAGAAAAATATTTTACAAGGAAGTAAGCTCTCACTCAACCCTGGAAGAAAGAATTCATCTCCACCAGAGACTGAGTACCACTGTGGATGGTATTTCTTCTTAAGGCAGACATTGGTTTCACGGTTTCAAGGGCTCTCCACATTTTAAAACATCAAAACCCAAATCCTCATCTGTTGCTTTTTGAAATATTACATGTAGATTTTAGTTTGGATTGCCGTGTTAGTCAGACTTACAGCAGAAATCAGCAGGACTGTTACTAATTTGAGCTCCCTTGGTTCAAACAATCTCTGCTAAATATGACTAAAAAAGCCATTTTACAGCCCCCAGGAGGTGTGTTGGGAAATGTGCTTCTCACGGGCAGCCCCAGTTTTGTAGAAGATCATCCCTGCAGAAATCCAGCTGACCCCCTCCAGACTGTCCCCAGAAAAAATGCTGAAAATATAACTGTTCCAGAGGGTGTTCTAATAAGAATGGGCCCTCTTTGCTCTCATTTTTGACTAGTTTTGTTCTTGGAGTGATTCTTTTATTGTTTTACTGTTGGATTTTATGCTGATTTTATTCCTACTGTAGATGTCTTAATTTTTTTTCTCCCTATATTGTGCTAACCACTGGGAGTTGTAAAACTGTGATGGGATATACATGTAATAAGTAAAATAAATGTAGAAATAGAGGATAATTCTGAGCAGAATTCTCCCCAGGATCAAAATAATGAAAACAGCATCACACAATCACTATGCAGGCTTCTTCCGTTCGTTACACAGGTGCAATGTCAGGATGCGGAACCTGCATTATATTGGGGTGACACTCCTTTTGACATCTGCCCCATGAGAAAGGAGGGAGAGGTTAAAACAAAACAATTGGGTAATCCAACCATTAGATAAATAGGAGTGTTGATTTCAGTAAGGTACACTAAGATGGGAGGAATTTGGATAAAACAATAGATTCATATAAATTAAGGTAAGCAGGTTTAAAATGGGTCAGTATGCAGATAGGAGAGCACCAGAAAATCCCAGAGTTTTCAACAAGAGGTTATTTTCCAAGTTTACTGATATCCCATCCCACAGAATATTTAAAAATGGCTAGCTATTAATTTCATTTTGATGGAAGTAAAAATGGATGAGGGAATATTATTGCCCCACTTTGATTTGATATCCACAAACATCTTAATATGATGATACAGTACAAATTTAAAGATGCAAATGTACTTCTGAATTATATACAAAAACTTAAAACTTATTATGTGGAGAAGTAGTTATTCATCAAGCATGGGGGAGCAAGAAAAACTATTGTTCAATATTGGAAATATAGAGCTATCTCAGATTAACCATCTTGGATTTCAGATATGTTTATTAGCTGGCTTCTTACTGATATAATAGAAATACTGATAAGTATTATTTATGTGCCCAAGACTTCGTGATCTGTTTAAAAATTAGGCTGAATAATTTGATATATGCTAATAAGGTTTTTGTTGTTTCTTATTTCTCTTTTTCTTCCATTTTTGTATTATTATTGTTATCAGCACCAGCCCAAATCCATCCACTACAGAATGAAGGCTTCTTCACTGACATTATGGACTGTGGTCAACCAAGCCTGTTGATAGGTACAGTGCATGTTGATTGATTGATTGATTGATTGATAGATAGATAATGAAGAAGAAGAAGAGGAAGAGGAAGAGGAAGAAGACAGACATTTCCCAGTTTAAAGCTGACAGAGAATTACTACTTCAGAGTCACCCAGCTGGCTTCTGTGCTTAAGGGAGAACAGAACCTGGATCTCCCCACTCCTAGACCAACTTAACTGCCACATCACACTGGCTCTTTCCTTTTTTGCATATGGAAGCAAAATATTCTAAAAAGGAAAGTGAATCTCTCTCTCTCTCTCTGTTTCTCAAACACAAACAAACAGAAAGAAACTTTTCGCCAACCTTCAGATGATAAAAATGACACTCTGCACCAGCGCTTGTTGGAACACATATAATATTGTTGAAGGGGTGAATCCAATGGCACTGACTCTTTACCACATCAAGGGGGCAGTGGGGTACAGATGGAGCGTTAAGGATTCATTCTGCTTTCCTGCTTGTCTGTCTGTCACTCTGCCTACCCTTTGTTTTACGAGTCTGCTGTCTCAGGTCTCTTCCATCTGTCTCTCTTCCCAGGGATGCATAGATGGAACCCTCATTCTCTAACTCTCCTTCTAGTAGCAGGTAGCTAGCTAGGTGCTAGACTTTGCCTATCCCTGTAATACATTTCCTGTAAAAAAAAAAACCTCTTCCTGTAATAGTTATAAAGCTTATTTCCCTAATCCGTGCTCAGATCAGATTCTACTCTCAGGAAGACTTACATCCTGATCCTCAAGATATGCATGCCCAGAACGCTTTAAACTCCAATGAAGATAATAAATGCTACACGCAGGAGAATTAAATTAAATTTTAAATCCATTTATACGGCCAAGAAGCCAAGCCAATTGTTCTATTGCATCTTAATAGGAGCTGAATAATATTAAAGTTTGCAAGATTAGGCAAGGGCCATTTGCAAGGTCGAGGTGCTGATCATTTAGGGCACTTTTTAAATAGTTGTGCAAGGGCTTAAAGAAGCACACAGAGAGCCCTTGTAGTATAACTGGGCCTTCTAGGTAATACAGACTTTAAGCTTATCCTCCCCTACCTGGTCCTCTCCAGCAGCTGTCATAATTCTGCCCCAGGACATCTATGGAACGCTCAGCTGAGGAAGGCTGATTTATGCTCACTGACAAGCTAAAGAAAGAAACATTTTCAAGGTGATGCAAAAAGGCCATCCTTAGCCTTTGTATGGCAGTGCAGCCTGTTGCAATGAGACCCATAAAAGGCAACAATCGGGTCCAAGTGTAAACGTCCTTGCACAAGAGTGTATATCTTACCTAAAAGCATGCTCTGTGTGCTTCAGCTTATGAGCAGGGAGTTCTTGGAAGCATTCCCCATTTTGTGGCTTTGAATCTGGAATTCCCTTCTTGCGATCCCAGATAGACTTCACCTCTTCTTTGGGCATTTTGTCTCTGTTCAGTTTGTTATCTTTCATCTAATAAGGAGACATGGTTTAAAAAAAAATAATGAGTTACATCCAAGACTCTGAAGTTGCCGGGGGTACCCATCTCCACTGTTAATAGGAAGATAAAGAACAATTAATCTACTGCAAATGTAAAGTCAGAAGAACAGCGTGTAGTTTCAGCTTTGTTCTGTACAAAGGTCCTGAGTTTGGAAAGATCTTACATGAGCTCACAAGGTTAAAATAATAATACTTGCTTCCATTGTCACTGGGTCCTCAGCCCACTGGGGCTCATCTATATGAGTGTGACACAAGGAGCCACATATCTGTGCTAAGTAATCAATCATCAGAAGCATTAAATTGCCTACAAATTCATGTCCAGAATTTTGGGGGGGCAGGGGCAATTTCATCACTAGTCTTGCCTCTTATGCATATTTGCCCAAGGCTCTGAAATGTGTCCTTCCCTTTCAATCAAAAAGGATAGAGAAACTGGCACTTTGCCTCACCCCTAACTAGATGTCCCACTGCCTGTCCAATGTCTGGTTCTGGCTCTCTAGGTTGGGACATTTTCTTGTTTCCATCAAACTGAGTCATTAAGTCCCCTTGCCTACGAAGCAGGATCCGGTTTATATGGAGTGATATTTCTGGGATATGTAAATAATGTTGCTAAGAGCAGTCAAAAGATGCATTACAATCTTCGTGGAAACATTTAAATGGATGTAATAAAATTAATCTCAGAGATAAGCCAAGTAGAGAACTGTCCTCCCAATTTGGTCCTGGAGATGAAGAAAGTTCTGTGCCCAGTTTGTCTTGACTTTCCACCTCCCCTACCCAGAAAAATTCTCCGATTAGTGTCATTTAGAGCTGCTCTTGACCATCTGACTGTCAAGCATGCCGAGTCATGCCTTGATGCTAATTGGAGTTGTGTGCAGAGTGCAGCGTTCCAGAAAACTTGTTCTGGTCTGCAGGAGAGATTAATCTCATGAAGGACATCAGCTAAAGCCGTGGCCAAAGCAAACTGGAAATAGCAAGGAACAACTGCGCAAATGCTCTTCCCTGACTAAACTGATCCTGATCCAAATGGTGAGGAGACCCACCGATCTCAATCTGATTTAGTTTAGTGAGACCAATCCCATTGATTTCATTGGGATGGCCTTCATGAAATCTGAATTCAGTTTAGTGGCTTATGCTGCTTTCAGTATTGCTGTTTTTGGAAAAGCATTTCTGGGGTTCATTGGGCAATTTTCTTTAGAATATGTCTAGAGCAGGCTCAGTCTGGTACCATTAACTTCTATATTGCCCCACAGGATGACTCAAGCATGTAACGTCTCTGGAAGACACCAGTTGTAAAGGCTACTCTAGGGGGCGCTATTTACTTCTTTTTCCTAATATCAAGGCAGAAAAGCATAACCACCATGTAAACGTGACCAGATGAGCTAATTCTACTTTATTGTAAAGCTACATTAACAGAATCTTGCAAGTCTTGAAATAGCATCTCTCCCCCAGTCTCCTTTACAGCCCAAGAAACTAGGGAGGGTCTCTTCTGAGCCTCTTGCCCCGCCCACATTCCTGCTGTGGTCTCAGCTGCCTTTCATCTGACTGTTCCCTTGGCTGCATCTCTTTGCCCTGTCTCCCAAGGTCATTCCCACATACCATTACACCATGAGAGGCCTGGGCTAAAGGCATCCACAGCCCTGGAACTAATCCTGCAAAAAGAAACTTGGTATCTTTTCCATAAGGGTAAAAAGTACTTTGGAAAAGTGATATTTACATGAATGAAATGAAATTGCTTCTTCTGGGATGACCTCTCCTCTGGCAGTGAGAAAGCCAGTCTATTTTTTCTGCCTTGCAGATCTCTCTTATGTGAAGAAAGAACTGGGAGAAATTCAAAACCTATTCCTCACTGCACTAGAAATTTAATGGTATTTCTGGGACAAGCCCGGATCTGCCAAGCAAGGAGTTCTGGGTTTGTTCCAAATCCCCAGGGGGAAATTATGGTAGCAATCTGAATTGGAGAGAGGGTGATACAGATCCCTGCTTCCATTCCAATAATGGTGTTAGCTTTTGTCTTTTAATATGCACATTTTAATAATGTACTTCCTTAAAAAAATTAAAGATGCCTAGATATGTTTTCAGTAATCTGCAGTGTCATTTAAACATGGTTGATTAATGTAGTATTGACTGGCTAAAATGCAGGGGGGTTAATAAATGATTAACTCTTTAAACAGTTGGCTAGCAGCTTTATTTATCACAAAAAGTGTTATTCTATATGTTTAATGCTTCCTTTGGAAATTCCAAATCCTGGGCCTAAATTTCAGTTTCAGCTCAACTTGTGAGCATACGAGCACAGTGATTAGGCTAAGTGCTTATCTTCTTATAAACATAAATGCATTAAAAAGGGGGGAGGGGAACTCTGCAAGCAAAAAAGAAAACAGAAAAAATGCTGTTCATGTAGTATGTCTAGCCAAACTGGAAGCAGGAAATACCACAACTATCATGTCATGAGAAAGCTTGCTTCAGGACAAACTTTGCAGTCCAGCTCTGCACACCCAAGATCTTAAGGCAGTCCAGAAAATAGAATAAATTCTCGGATGTAAAACAAACTCAAAACAGACTGGGGAAAGGCAGTTTCACATGAAATGAAATTTCATTTTGGTCTAGCCATTTTCAGTTTTTCCAGGATGACTGACTGACAGCTAAGATTCTCCTGGCTGCTTACAGTGGGTAGGCATCGTTATTGTTTAAGTATTAGTATCAGCCAGAACATAAATGCTTTTTCAAAAGGACTGTTATGAGACTAAAAATGTTGGTTACTCCGTGTAATTTAGGGAACGGTTGCAGCTCAGGAATGGAGAAAACAGTTTGCACATTGAAGGTCTTAACTTCATGCCATGCTGAAATGGCTTTCTGCTCATTGAGACCATTGCTCTAGCTAAGCAAGTGCTGTCTACATCACTGACAGAGAACAGTCCACCAGAGACTCCTACAGAAGTCTTCTGCATCAGCTGGTACCTCCCCCCACCCCTCCCCATCTCCTTCTTTTCAACTAGACATATCAGAGATAAAATTTGGAACTTTCTACAAAAGAAACATCCCCTCTACCAGTGAGGCATAGTTCCTTGCTGTCCCCAGAGTCTCCCATTAACCAAATCTCTGCACTACTAAAAATGATATCTGTTTGAGCCTCTAGAAGACCACTGTCAATCAGTGGGCCAGAGTGTAAGGCATGACTATGTCTAAAAAGTAACATCCATGATTTCCAATTAGAGCTATATTCAGTGTAATCCCATATCAGAATGAGGAGTTTATTTCAGCCTTCCCCAAAATTTCTCTTACAGGCATTTTATAAATCCAGACATTAAACAAATGATCCATTCAAAATAATTATAATTCCCCTAACAGACTGATTTACACTGTTGTTGTTTCATGGATGGCAAGTAAAATATATGATAAAGCAGCTTGATAAAAATAACAATATCCTCACATTCAGAAGTAGCTAACCTAAGAGTACATTTTGGTACCTGCAGCATCCTATGTGAAGATTATTAAAAATGATGGTTTGACACCAATAATTTTACTCACCATACAGTAAAACACCATGGCACCAGCTTCTGAGTTTAAGTAGAAATGCAATGCACCACTTTTTGTAAAGAAAGGGGGAAAAGTCAAAAGAAGAAAGGAGACTTTGGAGAGTGCATAATTTATATTAAGAAATAGAAAAATCACTGGGTTAAGTTCAGATTAAAGAACTAAAGATATCTTGGTGCATCCATAGTCTAAACCTTCAATTCCATCAAGAAAAGTCATAAAGTGGAGGGAGAATTTAAGGGAAGAAAGATTAACTGGAGGTCACTTAGGAATTCAACGCAAATCCAGGACCAATTTTTATGACCCATGTTGTGTTCTGAGATATGAACTCAGCTCAGTGAAACTTAGAACACTTATCTGATGTTCATCATACACTGAAGAAGCAAGTTAAATAAAGATTCAGCTCACAGTACAATGTAAAACCAATTGAAATATCCTGCTTCATCATACAGCCAGTTTTGCAAAGCTCTGGTCTGCTTTTGACCAATATAATCTTGATAGAACCTTCAGGATCCCTGCTGGAGAAAACATGACCTTGAGTCAGGTTGTTCCCATGCTAGAAACTGCATCAATGACTTTTGACTTTTGCTATGGGATGTCATGATGAACACAGGCAATATGGGGTTTGATTCTACTTCCCACACGCCCCACCCTTCCCCCAAGCAATAGTTACCTCCTCTTTTCTGAAGGCTGGCTGAAGCTTCTTGTCTTGTAGCTTTTCCCTTTTAGCTTCCACTTTATTTTCTTCCCCCTTTTGCAATATTTTTCAAGAGGAAAACATCAATCCTGTCACAAGCCCTATTAACAGCTGCTACTATCATTGCTCTACAAAGCTGTGCTCATACAACCTCTCCTCTGGTGCAGCTGCTGCTGTGCACGCAATTCCCTTCAGGTGGCACAGTGGCTTTCCTCTGCACATTGGCGCACTCTCTTCTGCTCTGGTGTGCTCGTGTTGTCATATATCCCAGCAGGATTCTGGCTGTGTTTGGTTCTAATACGTGTGGATGCTTATTCAGCATCCTACCACCAAGGTTTCCTGGGTGGTCATTCATGGCTCATGCTGTGCCTCTGGACCTGGTGTATACCTTTGGCTACCTCCCTTGGCCAACCATCAGCCACAGAAAAGGAAGATAAAGAAGCTGTGAAGAATTGAGCATGCCTAGATTTCCACAAGAAGAGCCAAGAAAACAGCAACTTAACCAAGTGTCATGCACTGATCATGCTATGGATAGGTGAAGCTAGAAGCTTAAGTCCAAAAAGAAATAAAACTTTGGCAAGAGTTAGTAGCCCAAAGTGGAAAGAGATAACTGAACAAATTCCAGTTTCTCTCTCTGTCTTTTTCTGGTGAAATGCATTACATTTTCTACAAAACACAGGCAAACTGTGGTTGGGTGCAAAATGTTTACTGTACCTGTTTCCTGAGGGAAGCTGCTGTGATGTTCTCCTCTTGGAGTTTCTTCTCTTTTACCTGCTTCTCTTCTATTTTCTTCTCATCCCCCTTCTTGCCTTTCAGCTGGTCTACCTTTTTCTCCTCAGACTTTTGTCTGGCCTTTAACCTCTCCTCTTCTAGTTTAGCCTTTTCCTCAGCTGCCCTTTTAGCCTCAGCTTTGGCCCTCTCCTCTGCCTCCCTCTTTTCCTTCTCCTTAGCCCTCTCTCGTTCCTCAGCTGCTTTTTTCTCTTCGGCTGCCTTCCTCCTCTCCCTCTCCTCAGCTTCACGTCTCTCTTTCTCCTGGGCAGCTCTTTTCTTCTCCGCCTCTTCCTCCTCCTTCCTCTTTCTCTCCTCCTCAGCCTTCCGCTGTTCCTCAGCCTTCACTCTCTCCCGCTCTTCTGCCTCTAGCCTTGCTTTCTCCTCAGCTTCCCTTTTCTCAGCTTCCAGCCTCTCTCTTTCCTCCTCTGCTTTCCTCTGTTCCTCAGCTTGGGCTCTCTCCATTTCCTCCCTCTCAAGCCTTTCCTTCTCCTCAATTTGTTTCTGCTTCATTTCTGCCTCATTGTCTTCCTCCTTCTTTTTATCTATGGCTACTGTAATGCTGATGACCTCCTCTGAACCGGCAAGAACATGGGTGTCATTCTCTAATTTGTCCTCCTCTGCATTTACCTCAAGATGCTTTCCCTCCAACACTGCAGATTCCTCTTCATTGTCTACATTCTCCTTCTCTACTGTTACTTCTACCTGATTCTCCTCTGGGGCTTGTGGCTTTGGTTTCTGGTCTTCCACCTCCTCTTTGGTTTTCTCATCTTTCTTCTCATCTTCCTCATCCTGCCCCAAGTTGTTCCTCTGGTATGATTTAGTGATGGTTTCTGTTTCCTCCACTTCATAGCGTCTTCTGTGGGTTTCTACTTTTTCTTCCTTTCCTGGGGTTTCATTTTCTTCCACATTATTCACCATTTTTCTGCTTGTGAAGGACACGCTCTCATCAGTAACGGTTGGGTCAAGTTCCTTTTGGCGCTCCAGTGCTTCTTGAAGACGCTTTTGACGTCTTTCCTCTCTCCGTGCCATCCTCTCCAGAAACAGAGAGTCATCATCTCCATCACCTTGAGTAGTCGTAACAGTGGTCACTGTTGTGGTAATTTTGGACTCTCCTTCTGCAATGCTACAAAAGATGCAGAGTTTTATTTTTATTGATTTGTCTGCTGCATTTACTTTTTATGTTTCCTCCTGGAGTTCAGAGTGGCTTGCTTACATTGCCTTCTGCCCTCCCCATTTTATCATCATAGGTAAGTTTGGCTTCATGATGAATTGGGATTTGAACCAGGATCTCCCCAGTCCTAATCAGAAAGTTAATCTGATAATCAGAATATACAGTATGTGACTCAGGGATGAACTGTTGGGCTCTTGGTGTTCCCTGAGCTGATGATGTTACCTGGCTGAATAACAAAAAATCTTCAGGAAAACAACCAAGCTCAGAGAACCACCACTTATTTAGCGTTACACCCATCACTGTGACTAATAGTACTTGGTAACCATATTTGTTCAAAGAAAGCTGATAAAAGTGACTTCAGAAGCTGGAGAAACTCACAGATGGATCAGAAATTATAATTATATACAGTAAAAAAAAAATTTCTTTGTGCAAATCTTTGCAATTTGGTCATTTCTTTGCTCCATGTAGTGGTCCTCCAGAGTTTTTTAGATCACACTTGGCTTTGATTTTTATGGCCCCCCCCCTTTTTTTATAGTGAGTCTAACCATTAATGCAAAGACATGAACTTTTTCATTCACCCCAAAGTTATTTATTTTGACTGTCAGAGTTCCTCCAGGGTCTCATGTAAGGTTTTATATCATATTCTTTTTAATCTACTGTAACTTGAAAATGCCAAGAATCTCTACCCATCTGTGCTTCCAATCAGGACCCCCAAAATTTTGGGACTAGTTCAAGTCTCTAAGTGTAGGATATGAGAAGGGGCTTATTGGTACAAAACTACCTTTCTGTTTTGTTTGGTTTTTTAAGGCCTTTTTTTTAAAAAAAAAAAAAGTTGCTTGTCTTGATGGTGAGAAATCAATGCTAAACATGGAGCAGGATGGAGGATACTTGGTCAACAGTCTGATCACAGAATCAACTTCCTAGAATATGGGGAAACTAGACCAATATTGCTTGGAAACTACTACTGGCTGCCCTTTTAATAATAAAAATGCATTATATTAAAAGATTGTTTTATATAAGTATATTCTCCTAATCAGGAAACTGATTCTATAAAGCTGCACCTGGAACTTCCTACCACTTTAGAGAATGGAGGATATAGAATAGTGTATTAAAGGACAGGAACAATTAAATTGTTCAGCTCTTCTTCCATGGTTAAATCCCCTTGACATGACACAGAATGAAAATCCACCAAAGCTATTCATATGGCAGAACCTTACTTATTTTGGGCATTAGCTTCAGGTTTCTCAGTTCCTTGCCCTAAGTCATCCTCTTCTTTTTGCCGCAGTCTTTCTTGACGGGCCCGCCTGCGCCGCTCTCGAGCAGCTTCTTCCTCATCATCATCATTTCTTTGATAGGCTAATCTGCAAAACACAGTTTCAAAAAGGCTAGATCCTGTATTCAGAATGCCACAATAATATCTAAGGTGATTACAAGACCACAAATATATTTGCTGAAATACTCTACATAATAGACATTTATGTCATACTATTCTGAGCATACTAAGCATATTTATTTGTTCAGCACCATCAAAATAAAATATCTCTTTATAGGATAAACAATAAAATGTCTCTGTACCCCATGATTAAATGGTAGAAACCTCTAGCAAGAGGGAAAGGAGATTAGAAAAGTCAAGGGTAGAATGGGATGAGGCACAGAAATTGCACACTGTCAATATATTTAAGATTTGTTTCTTCTCGAGACTAAGAATTAAAGAGTGAAGCCAAAGGCTTCATGGAAAGTCAAGAAAATGGTGCTACAGAGAGATCTTCATGTGTCCAAAGCTGCAAGGTCTTCTACATTCCAAAATGCTTAGATATATCTTTTCTGACAACTTTTTGTTGTGTTGGAAGCAGCACTTAGAATAGTTTTCCTCAACCAGATATTCTGCAGATGTGGTGGGCCTCCATACATCATATCCAGTGCTAGCTAGAAAGGAGGAAAGGAGCTGCAGGCAAACACATCTGGAGGACATCAGGTTGGCTAAGGCTATCTTAGAAGGAAGAGGAGGATGAAAGCAGAAACTTTCTCAGAAGAACTGAGAAAGGGCAGATGATTCAGCAGGAATTCTGAATTGTGGTTTAATGAGTTCCTAAAACATGTAAAGTCCAACTGAGCTCTTGGGTAACACTTTGTTTAACATGCCAGAGCTAGAATGGAAGCTTTCACTCTAGATTTTTTTTATAGCATTGGCATAGTTTATGAGGTTTTCTCCTATCACCCTCGTATCTATAACCTACGCTAGGGTCTCTTTCAAATCCCCAAATACTTTCCAAACTCTCAGAATCCAACTTGCAATTGCCTTCAGTGCAGCCAACTTCAAAACACTAAGAAACCAATTTTAGATATAAAATGCTCCTTTCTGCTGAACGCTGCCTGGACCTCTTCCATACTGTGTGTGTTTGTTCTCCATCCCTCTGCTCGCAAATTAAAGGAATGGTGAATGCTGAAATGGTAGTATCTTGATATAATGCCACCACAGCTGAACTTCTTCAAGAGGGGGAAAAAACCCAGAGCTGGGACTTCCTGCCACTGGGAAAACTGCCTGCTTCCAAGCTTCATGGAGCTCCCATGTTTCAGCTAGAAAACTAGATTTGCAGCAGTGTGATTGCTGTATGACTGAGCCAGAAATACATGATCTCAGCTGCTGAATAGGGACGATGTTATGGGATCACAAAGGCATAGGGCCATTTGGCCCAAATGCTACATATGGAAGTAGCCTAGGAAGCAGGTTCATAGCAAGAACTGAGAGAGCCAAAGCAGAGAAATGGAAACAGAAAAACCTTCAGCACAAGGTTCCCCAACCTGGTGCTCTCCAGATGTATTGGATCAAACACTTTAGCCTGCATAAACAGAATCTGGCAGAGAAAGCAAATAAAGGTCCAAGCAGATGTTACACGATTTAGGCCAAAAGCAATAGCCGTATTTGTGGTTTCCTGGCTTTTGTAATGTGAGGGTGGTAGTGGTGTGACTATGAAACACCATGACATTCTGAATAAGGGTAAAGCTATATTAAGCATTTACATAAGGGAAGAACCAGAACTTTGCCACCCAATTTGCCTATATATAGATTCTTGATCTAAAGGTACTTCAGTACTTGCTGGAATTCTTGCATTATTTTAACCTTTTTAAAATAAATCTTTCTAATCAGAGCCCTAAGAGTTCTTTGGGATTTATGATTTCCAGTCCAGAGTGCTGCAAGAGAGTCTGACAAGCAGGAAATAGATGACCAGTTGCCATTTTCGATAGCCATGGATTTAGTGGAAGTTCTGACAATAAGGAATGTTTAACTGGGCTTTAGGTCACTTTAAACTCTCCATAGTAACAGGGTTTGTCACAGCTTCTAAGGTTTACAAGGATTTTATCTTAGTAAACACAAAAGTGAGAAAGGCAGAAATATCATGGAGTAATCATGGATCACTGAGCAAATCCTCTTTAGATGTCTGTCTACTCTGTGCTAACTACAAAAAATGCCTACGTAAAGCTGGCACACCCACTGCATATGTAATCTGCAAAATGGCCCTAAAACGAGAAACTTGGAAAGCAAGAAGTAGCTGCCTTACTGCCTGGATTCACATAACACATTAAGTCCCAAACCTGGGTTAACAGATCATAATAGAGAACGTCAAATACCATGCTACACCCAAACAGAAAACCACATTGTATCTTAATATGATGCCCTGCTTTACACAATCGACTAAGACAGTGGTTGGCTTCCTGCAGAATGCTGAAACCCAACTATCCATTTTAGTCCAAGTTAACATGTTGTTACCACACAGACTCAGTGCTAGGTAAATCCCTTTTGGCTGACCTCCACCATTTGTGCCCCTATTGGGATAGACAGGAGTGTGAGCATGCCTGGAAGGATCAAGTCGGCCATGGGAACTGGGGGTTGCATCCACTCTCCAATGCCTCCCCATGCTGCAGATACAAATGCCACCCCCCAGGTTCAGCAGAAAAGAGACAGAATAAATAAAACGCACAAAGACTGCTTGCATATTCTAGTGTAGTGTTTCTCAATCTTCACAACTTTAAGATGTGTGAACTTCAATTCCCAGAATTCTCCAGCCAGCATGCCAGTTGGGGAATTCTGGGAGTTGGTCAATACATCTTAAAGTTGCTGAGATTGAGAAGCACTGTTCTCATGCATGACAACTTCCACACTTCATTTGTGGCCCACCTACCAATATACCTGGCCACTAGAGGACCATGTCCTGGCAAAGTTCTTAAGGATCAGGGTATAGACTTTCCTAGCCTGCCTGCCTAAGATTCTTCATTTTTCTCAGGCATTCTTCTATGGCGTTTCCCTCTCTTTGCAGAAAAATTGATAGCAAAATAAAAGTAATGGAAAATACTGATACAAAAGGGCAAAATTCATTTTGCTTTCCTTCCTAAGGTACGAAAAACTCACTATCGAAAATAAGCAGTGCATTTTTGTTCACTCCACATTAAACTAACTTTTTCTTTGTCTTCAGCTTCTGATCAAGCCTCTTCCCTGGTTCAGTGCTGGGAAAGCAACTCCATCACACCAGCTTACGCTGCGCTCTTGAACACTTGATACGGCCTGTAAAATGTTCAGCTGCAAGTAAGATTTGATGAGATGGGTGCCTGGTCTCTCTTTATCTCCCCTCACTCAAAGTGTTTACGGCATGCTCACCCAACTTTTATTGTTGCTTTGGAATTGGCATTTACAGAGTCTTAACTGGAAAGAATCTGAACAGAACTCTTCTCCAATCTTGCACCTAAGAAATTTTAAATTAATAACTGTCTTCGTTTGTTCTTTTATCAGCCTGCTTGCACCTCTCTTCCCAACCCATATACCTGGATTAATCATTAGTGCTAAGAAGCTAGTTCTTCAACTCTAGAAAGATAATTTTATGGCTTCAGTTACCCAGTGGGTTGAAGACCTGATGTTGCTGTTGTTTAGTCGTTAAGTCATGTCCGACTCTTCGTGACCCCATGAACCATATTGCGCCAG